AACTGGACCTTACCTACATCACAGAGCGCATCATTGCGGTCTCCTTCCCGGCCAGTAGTTCCGAGGATTCCTATCTCCACAACCTGCAGGAGGTTACACGCATGCTCAAGTCCAAGCATGGTGACAATTACCTGGTGAGTACAGGCACTTTTGACTTTGGGGCGCATGAGCTTGGCAGGCCAAGGGATGCTGGGAGAGTGCAGATGTTGTAGGTGGCACCGGCATGGGTAGATCTATCATGTACATGGTCCTTGCATGACGTTTATGTCCTCCCTTACTCTCAGTGGCATGCTACAAGAAGTAAGTACTTGCTTTACAGAGAAGGGGCATCAGTCTGTGTTGTTGCTACTGTCTGCCTCGCCACAGGGAGAAGTGGACAGGGTTCCAGGAGAGGTCTCCATCAAGGATGGCCATTGCCCCGCTCCTGTGCACATAGAGCTTCAACTAGCCAGCGCAGACAAAGTTTTCATTGCCTACAGAGTCTGTCAGCACATTGTTGCAAGTAGCTACTTTCAGTGGCTGGATACCTCATCCCTTGTATCTAAAGTGAACTCTGGCTCTTCTCCTGAAGACTAAAGAATGGGTGCTCAGGAAGCCAGGGGACTATCCAAAAGAAAAGTAATAAATAAGTTTCAAAATCCATGTGCAAAAGTAGATGAGAGCCCATATAGGACGAAAATAAGAGTGGCCTCTCCCCCATTCCTCTCTTTGTCTAATTAACCCTCTTTATTCTCTTTCTCTTTGCTGTTCTTTTTCAAGTCTACTACCTTGTCTCCTGCTCCTGTTAGGAGCATTGTTAACGTGCAGCAGCCACGGACTCTCTTTGCCTGTAAGGCCTCTTTACCTACATTGAAATCCATCTTCACCATCAGTGTGCAAAGATGTACTGCCAGCATTTTTGTGTATTCTTGAGGTGAATGAATTTGGGTTCTGTGAGCAGTAACCTGAGGACCTGTTGGGAAGGGTACCTAGTCTGACTTTAGCGTGCTCCCCATCCTATCTGTGCAGGCCTCCAGGACATCCTCCTTTGTCACAGGGATGCACTGGGTACTCTGTGTCTCTACTTCTGATGGCCTTACTGCCTTCAATGTCACATCCAGGCCCCTGTCTGATAGTCACATACCTCTGATAACTATCCTACCTTCTCTCTTAATCATTTCCTTTCATTGCAGGGTGATCTTCCTTGTCTAGACTCTTTCTTGAGCTCTGGTGGCATAGTGGTTACAGGTTGGGCTACTAACCGCAAGATGTGCCATTCAAAACCACCAGCTGCTCTATGGGGGAAGAGTGGGGGCTTTATATTCCTATAAAGTGTTATAGTCTTGGGAATTAACAGGGGAAGTTCTACCCTGTTCTGTAGGGTCACAAGTTGACTCATGAGGTCAGCTGAAATTGGAGCCAGCTTGGTGACAAATTGTTTTTTCCACTGGAGAACTATTTACACAGATAGACCTCTCCCACGCCCTGCGTGAACGGAGTATGGTCAAGGGACAAGGAAAGATTTTGGATTGCCATCTTTGTCCTGTGCCTATTGTTGTCTTATAATTCTCAAGATGTCAACGGGTTAAAAAAAATGCAATTGTTTTCTCTTTTGACTTCTGAGGATAGAGATTTGCTTAAAACCTTTCTCTCTTCCCTGTGTAGGTACTAAACCTTTCCGAAAAGAGATATGAACTTACAAAACTTAACCCAAAGGTATGAATTTTATTGCTTCATGTTCTGGATTTACAAAATGTACACAAATAATATGAAGAAGTCTTGTGTCACTTCACTCAGTTTCTCTTAGGGTCACATTTTATGTAAATAATAGTGCAAATCAAAATATTAGGAAATTGATATTGGCACAATCCTCAGGCCTCATTCACATTTTGGTAGTTTTGTGTCCCCTGATGAGAGTGTGTCTATGTGTGTGTGTTTCGGCGTGGGGTGGGGGGCATGGATAAAGGGGTTGGGAGAATTTCTCTGCCATTTCAGCACCTGCATAGATATGTGTAACCACAGTTAAGATATAGAAAGAGTCCACCACCATCAAGATCGCCCTGGGCCACTCATTTATAGTCACCACTGCTCCTTCTTCAAATTATTATTCGCAGTAGCAAATATTTGGGAATGCTTTTAAGAATTCAAATATATAGGTTAAGCATGCACTGGACTATTTTGATGTCATTTGAATAAAAAAAAAAACCCAACCGAACAAACCAGTGAATTGTGCCTTTACAAAACTATTAAAAGTAGAATGAATTAACAAAACAGAAATGAAGACTATAAGTCTAATATTATCTCACCTGTGTTAAATTCGCATAGACAAAAGTGATGAAAGCATTCTTCAGAAACATTATGGTTACTTCCAAATGGTGGAAGGAATATGTGAATTTTCCTTCTGGACAGATTTCTGAATTTAGGAATTGTTTTTAACATAATTTCTCTTGTTTTTCTAATCCAAGAAGACTGTCTCTCTTATCCCCTTTTTAAAAAAGCGGGGGAGCAAGAGAGAACATAAAAATCTTTGTTGGCCAAAGAAGATTTTAAAAATAGATAGATGTATTATGGTTGTTGAGAGTTGTTATCATTATTTCCTTTGTTGGTAGATCAAATTATAATTAAGATTTGAAAATGCTTCCTCTTCCTTGAGCTCAGTTCTCTCTTTTGAGGAATTTTGTTGGCTCCGAAGTCTGTGTGATAGTCCTTTGCCCTAAGATATTGTTTGTATGGAATGTGAGGGAATGGCAAATGACACTTTCCAAAACTCTGATTTTAGTTTGAATGGAGGAATGTTGGCAGCAGCTTGGGCCAAGAACTCCTAAATCAGGCTCTGCCAGATCTCAGCCATTGTCTTGCCCTTGCCCTTGCCTGCACCCCCACCCGCCACCACTACAGCCTCCGCTCCACCAACTTTATACCACTTAATGCTATGAAAAGGCCTATCTGGAATTATCATTCTAGCCGCACACACAGAGATAAGACCCTTAGAGAGATGTCTCATTTATTTCATACTTTCCTTTCTAGCGAAGAAGCCTGGTCATAATTGTCATTCGGTTTTAGAAAAGGAACATTCAACATCATTCTTGACTCACAAATGGAATGCATTGACATAAACAAAAATAAATATGAAATGGCTTTAGAACCTTACGCAAATCGAAGCTAAGGACACATTCTCTTGTTACAGACGATGGACGTGGGATGGCCGGACCTGCATGCCCCGCCTCTCGATAAGATGTGCACCATATGCAAAGCTCAGGAGTCGTGGCTCAACAGCGACCCCCAGCACGTGGTCGTCATCCACTGCCGGGTGAGCAGAGGGGGCCCCCGTGGATGTGAAGGTTATGGGTTGAAGGAGATGGAGATGTTCCAGCCACATGTTCACTGTCCTTTTTGATGCTGTGAATTGCTGTTTGCATTTGTGGTTAGCTTGCTTTTCATCCTTCAAACAGGACCTCACACCTCCTACAGTCTGATTATCGAGTTCCTCAATGGACATCTAATCAGGGTCGCTTCTGAGAGTGAATTTCTGTCTTTCCTTCCCAGTTCTTTCCATCCCTTC